ACTCAATCATTTGTAGATCATATATGTAACATTGCAAGATTTATTTTTTAACTACTTGAATGACATCTTCGTCATGCATGACATGTTGCAATCCTACTCTCTGAGGTGAATATTTTGTACTTGTACCCTGAAAAAAAGAAAATAATATTTTACCTAAGGAATAGAATATTAATATTTGTTGTTTAATAAGCGAATAACTTACCCAAACAAGAGCATATTTAAATTGTTGAGCAAGTGTGCGATGAATAGCATGGCAAACATGCTCCACAGTAACACCTTTTCGTAATATTAAGCCATCGTCAAAGTCTGGTGGTTGACCAGGTTTTTTCGTATATACCCTTATCAAAGATAGATATTCCCAGAGTGTTTCAAGTAAGAAATCCAGATTCAATTTCATATTACAACTGCAACATAAAAGCATGTCATAAATGTTAATTGTTCCAATGATTCTATCATCTTAGAAGTACTTCTTTCCATCACAAAGTAGCAATACATTTAGAAGCTTTACCTAACTACTGCACTATTAGGTTGTCTAGCAATTCTGTCCACTTCTTCTATCGATATTTGATCTATTTTGTTATGTACATAGAGGCATGGCAAATATACTCTGTTAGCGTTAATTACGTCGATTAACTCATCCGCGGTACAATCTTCACGAAACAAGACTTCCGCGTTGAAGATCTTGTATTCATGCAGAATCATTTGAACTAATTTCTCATCTACTTTTGTTAATGGACACGTTGAATTGAAGGCTAATCCACCTCCCTTCTTCACTTTAAAATAAATGTTTGGTTTCTTTTTATTTAACCGAATGCCAACTGATTCTAATTCTTTCTCTAATAGTTGCCTTTGTACATCTTGCTTGGTTGCATCCAGCATCATAAGAACTAAGTCTGCTGTTCTAGCAACAGCAATCACCTGTCTGCCTCTTCCTTTGCCCTAAAATATTCATTCAGAAGCATGAAATTTTAGTTAATTGCAAGTATCATCGGATTACTAGAATATTTGCTTACTTTCATCAGTTCAAAGGTAATATCGAAATGTCTATACAAAATTACCTGTGCTGCACCCTCAATTATACCAGGAAGATCAAGGAGTTGAATATTAGCTCCTTTATATTCTATTACACCAGGAATGCAGGTCAATGTAGTGAATTCGTAAGATGCTGCTTCTGATTCTGTATGGGTGAGTGTGCTTAACAAAGTAGACTTTCCTACTGATGGAAAACCTATTAAGGCTACTCTAGCATCTCCTGACTTTAGTACATCGAATCCTTCCCCTTTCTCAGATTTCTTTCCTGGCTCCAAAAGTTGTGACCTATACTTTGCAAGTTTTGCTTTTAATAATCCTAGATGATACTCGGTGGCTGAAAATCAATACGTATATTAGCTGGTAATGTAAGATAATATATTAGTGTATTAAAATTGCTATAATTTTGTTTTTTATAGAAGGTTATTTTTACAATCCCATGTACTTATAAAAAAAAGTTATTGTTTTATTAAAACCTATTATAAACCATAAATAGTTAAATATTATATTTATTAACGTAATAAACATTGTAGTATTGTTACCGGTATATTTAATACGTTAAAATACACTTAAAAAAAGAGTAGTTAACAACCACGAATAAATTTACCTAAAAATTCATCTACATTCTACAAATCGAAGAAAATTCTCCGCAATTTCGTTCGAAATAATTTAATAAGAAAGCCCTCATGAATTTCGAAGTTATTTTAAAAGTTTTTACATATGTCATAAAGAGATAGGCGAATGCAAGTGTTTCAAAATATGGTTAAGAAAAATGTATGTTTCCAAATATGTACAAACCTTTATTTTTCTGAGTCCTAGCAATTTCTTTTTCGATTTCTGATATTTTCTCTAATATACCCATTCTGTATGTATTACACTATCAATAAATTTACATTTACGTGAAAAAGATGCACACCGTCCACACAGTGTGCGTAACACTATGTATGTAATTTAATGCATACGTGCAGGTTGTTTCTATGTGCGTATGTGTATGTAATATATTTTATAATTTCTATGCGTAGGTAATGTCTTATTTACTATAAACAACATAATTTAGGAAATTCTGTATGAAAGAAAATGAATAACATACAAGACAACAGCCGAGAAAAATATGTACATAACGTATCTAAAGTACTATACATAATTTCATGTGTGAAATGAATATCATGCAAAAAAATTATTTGTATCATGTCACATGTATAAGTGAATGTTTATTCATATTTAATACGAATGCGACATTTATTTTGCATAGATATTATTACGGAGTTTGAACAGAGAAGTATAAATAATTCCGCAAGGTGCCACTGAAAATCCCTATGTACAAACAGAATATGAAAGGCGTGAATCATAAATTGCAATAGTCTATGACTAAACCATCTCGTGGAACGTGAACGTGTTATACTTCTTGATTCTTGGTTAGCTTTTGTATCTGTATTAAGTTACTCTGTAAGTTCGGAAAGTTTATTTATACAAAATCATTTCTATTAAATCATCATGTACGACGATTACAACGAGGTATTTAATAATCGCTTGGTCAAGTTCTACGTAAGCATTATTATTGTGGATATGCAAATTAACATTTACACAATTTTCAGTATGATGCATATGATGATTACGGTCCGCTAGACGTTCATAGCGACCAGTATGACAGATTGAGTTATCGCCAAGTACCAGAAGTTGTACGAAATTTTCTGGTATTTTTGCGAAATTGTATAAACGAAGGAATGATATTCGAGATACAGAATCTTTATGAAACAACATTTCCAAAAATTTCGGAACAATTGTTCGATAAGTCGTCTTGGCCAGATGCTCAAGCGATTACGCATATAGTTGATAATGATCCAGTATTCCTTACCCTTTACAAAGAACTTTATTATCGCCATATTTATGCTCGAATGCAAGGACCAACAATAGAACAACGACTTGGTTCTTTTTATAATTACTGCGATCTTTTTAATTACATATTGCATCCTGAGACACCTGTTCAATTGGAATTACCCGATCAATGGTTATGGGAACTGATTGATGAATTCGTATATCAGTTTCAATCTTTTACACAATACCGTGCTAATTTGTCAAATAAAACACCAGAGGAAATCGAACATTTGAATGCGCATGGCAAAATATGGGATGTACTTTGTGTTTTAAACGTCTTGCATTATTTAGTTGATAAATCAAAGATCAAAAGCCAATTGGAGGTATATGCAAGTGGAGGAGATCCTGATTCAGTGGCTGGAGTGTTTGGAAGACATTCTTTATATAAAATGCTTGGATACTTTTCTCTTGTAGGTCTCCTGCGTTTGCATTCTCTTTTAGGAGACTATTACCAAGCCATTAAAGTTTTGGAAAATGTAGAGCTTTATAAGAAAAGTGCATACTCTCATGTACCTGGTTGTCAGATATCAACAGCATATTATGTCGGCTTTGCTTACATGATGATGCGTAGATATGCAGATGCAATCAGAACATTTTCTGGAATTCTGTTGTATATTCAAAGAACAAAACAATTGTTCGCAACAAGAAGTTATCAAAATGATCAGATTAATAAGCAAACTGAACAAATGTATCATTTGCTAGCAATCTGCCTTGTTCTTCATCCACAGTGCATTGATGAAGGATTGCAACAGGCACTACGTGATAAAAATTATCATGAAAAAATGTACAAGATGCAGTACGGAGATCTAGTAGAATTTGAATCCTGCTTTTTATTCGCATGTCCAAAATTCTTGTCTCTTACTCCACCAAACCCTGACAATCCGAATGAAGACTATATTAGAGAAGCTATTAAGCATCAAACTCAAGTCTTCATGGACGAAGTTGTTCAACAGAAAATGCTACCGACGATTCGTTCGTATTTAAAACTGTATACTACCTTGCCATTAAGTAAATTGGCAACATTTATGTATAATAACACCAGACCTGATGAAAGTTGGGATTTAGACAAAGAGGTCAGCACGTTAACCATTCACTTGCTATGTTTCAAACATAAGATGAAGAACATTGTCTGGACTAAAGGTGCATCAGGATTACATGGAAAATTTCAATCTGGCTCAGAGGTAATATATTTATTGTCAGTATTTTTAATATTGCAGGAGAATACAAAATGCATTAATATCATAATGTATATTATTACAGTTGGACTTTTACATTGATCATGATATGATTCATATCGCAGACACAAAGGTAGCCCACCGTTATGGTGACTTCTTTATTCGAAAAATTCTCAAATTTGAGGAATTAAATCGCAAATTACATCATATAAAAATTTAATCATTGTATGGAAACCATATTTACTTCAAAGGAATAAAACACAAATTTATAACAAGTATGTGTTTATTACATTTAGTAGAGAACTTTAGGATGATTGCTTTAAGACCACTATAGTACAATTTTGTACAATATTTTTATATAAGCATCATAATTCTTAAAAAACTATTCAGTACACGATACTACAAATGCAAGTGAGTTATGAATGCATAAAATATCTTCTATATATTTGATAAAAGACATATGTTTAAACGTAACATCCTTATCATAAATTTCTAAATTTTTACAGGATATGTAATAATAAAAAAATTAACTGTTACACACAAGTAGTACTTGTATTTGCATCATTATCTACTGTGTCACGCATTACTCTACATGCAGCTGATAAAATGTTAGGCTTAAGTGATGTTGATGGTCCCTTTAAATTATGAAGATAGTGGAAAAATCGATTTCCTCTTTTATTGTTCATATTAGCTCTAGATTCTTCTGCTCTGCATATCGTTCTTAAACATGGTAGGTAATCTGTAGATATAACTTGACGATCAAGTAAGAAAGATGTGGTTTGCGACAATGCCGAATTTACTCCTTTATTTAACTGTCTTTTTAGTGTGATATTATTTCGATATGAAGTTCCATCAGAACTACTTAACTGACTGCTGTACACAGCTGTTTTACTAAGCCATTCCGCTATATCGAAACATATACTATTTGATGCCGAATATGAATCAGTATTTTCTAATAAAGACAGACTAGGTTGCATTTTTATCTGTGACAAATTTAAAGCAGAGTCTTCTAAATGAATTAGAGATGACATCAAAACGATGTCATTTAATTTATTTGCCAGATTATCCAATATATGTTTATTGAAATTTGTTACTTTCCTATCTGCAGCTTTTTTCGTTTTTTGTTTCTTATTTTCTTTTATGGCCGGTTTGTATAAATTATATCGCACGCTTTCCCAGAATGAATTCTTAAAAATGATAGATTGTGCTATAACATGTGTCGGATTAGATAGCATCAAATATTGTAATTTAAGTATAGCTTTACGCAGATCTCCTATTTGTATCAATTCCTACAAACAGAAAAGTATACTTATTGCAATATAACTATTATTTACGATTAATTCGTATGTCAACGATACTTACAGTTATATAATCAGTGGATACACTGTAGCCTGTTTCTGCCAATGCAATCAATTGTAATAAAGCAACAATCCTGCTACCAGTTGCTTGTTGAAAATAAATTCTATTTTGCTGAGGTGCTATTTTAGCCAAATGGGGACAAATATCTCTACACGTCATGACAATCGGACGTTTTGTATTTAATGCTAACTGATAAGTAGCGGAAATGAAACCTTCATCCTCTTCGAATATGAGATCAATATCTTCTATAAGAATGAGAGACTTTTGCGATATTTTCTTTGGTACAGTTTCATCTGAACTTAGATTAAAAAATGTGGGTGCATCTGATTTCTTTTTAATTCTATGTGATTTAGTCGCTTCCTCCAGTTCTTTCAAAAGTATTTTTCCAGTTCTCCTAGATGATGCATTTACCTCTAATACACTAAACAAAGAAAAGACATATTTAAAGGATACATTTACTAAGCTTAAATATTATTAATACAGCATACTAACGTGTAACCAAATTCTTCTGCTACCGCATAAACGCTGGCGGTTTTACCGCTTCCATGTGGTCCTAATAGTATGGCTACTTGATTGTTCTCGTGAATTCTCGAAGAAGTACTATCGGAGGAATAGAATTCATCCCCACTACTGTTATTCTCGTTTCTGAATGTCGCTTTCCATCCAATTAACCATTCTCTCAATTTTGTACCGGCTTCTTCATTACCAACAACTTCTTTGATACTTCTTGGTCTATACTTGTATGTCCAATTATAATTCTCAATTTGATTTTCTGTACTTCTCTTTTCTATCATTTTTTCTTCTCTCATAAATTTACTTCTTTTTGTTCTTGTTCTTGGTGATACTGTTTTAATAGGTTGCCCTTTGAATATGTGAGAAATAACACTCCACATTTGTCTCGTGTCTGTGCAGAACTTCTCCATTTCTGTTAATATATCTGAAACTTTTGCTTTCTTATTTATAACGTTTGCTTCCAATTTTATTTCAGAAAAGTCCATTGTACATGTATAGTCGCTTGAATTTATAACTGGAATGAATTTAACACGAAGTTTTTCTGGAATATGAAAACTTTTCGTTTCATTAGAAATTACGTTATTCAATTGTGTGATATGACTCACAACTGGAAACGGTAATGTACCATCCACAGTTACTTTTCTAACTACGCTTTTACTATTATCCGTTACATCTGGTTGTAAAAATAACCGACGAGCCGCTATGATCTCTGGATCAGGTTTTCGTCGCTTTGTGAACAAAGGAGCCAATTTATCTACTGTTTTTCTCTTTAATTTACTCTCACTAATAATAACATAATCGTTTAAATTTGAATTAAGGCAGCTGTCCAAACTTTTACTGACTGTTGAAGTATGCTTGGAGTTGTCAAATGTCGATTTATGTTTATCTTTCTGTGCTAAATCGTTTTCAGCATTTTTTAATAGTTCATGTTTTAATATACTTTCTTCGTTCACTTGTTTTAGCGCTCTTTTCGGATTCTTATCTACCACAGAAATGTTTTTAGTTGCTTCAGATTTCTTAGAACTTTTTGTATTTATTTTAGATCTTCTTTGTGCTGAAAATATTTCTTCATCGCTAATTTCATCTGTTTTAAAAGTAAAAAGAAACATTAAATAATGATGCTATATACATTCAAATAATGTTATATATAAAAATCATAAAAATCAGCGATCAAAGTGTGAAAGTTCATTGCCATCAACCACAATGTAGGAGACTCTTGGATTTGGTTTCTTCATGTAAAATAAGCAAGCTATATAATATATTGTAATCATCTGGAAGTATCGAGTTACCTGCTACAAGATTTTCATTTTCATAATTTTGAAGTTTAATCCGCAAAGACCACCTATGTTTACTTTGTCCACATGAATCATGTTTCTTTGTTTTACATGTCATATTAATGTTCTCAGAATCTATAATACTAATATCATCTATTTGAGAAAATTTCATATCCAATTTATTTTGTTTATTCAACTGTGGTCCCTTCTTTGAGCTTGAATTATATATATTATGTTGAGTGGAATTTTCAGCCATGTGTACATCAGCCTTGACCACAATAGTAGACATGTTAGCTACATTCGAATGTGTTAAATTCACTGGAACTTTGCTGTTACACATAAAAAACAAAAAAAAACATTGGATATAATAGTACCAATTGTTTTAACAAAGGAGCCCCCCCCCCAATAATACATTACCTAAAATAATTCAACAAACTACCACAAGATTGACTTTGAGTAAATATAGTTGCTTCTCCATTACTATCTTTCGTTGTATCTTTTTTAAAAAGTTTAATTCGTTTTTGAATAATACGTTCTATCTTTTCACCTTCCTCAATTTCTGCTAATTTTTGTTTGGAATATCCTTTTTTATCAGCTAAAGCTATCAACTTTTCTTTTGTTTGTTTCAATTTGATTTTATATTCTCCAGACTTTTTGATGTCAGCTTCATCAGTTTGAGCAGGCTTTGTCGGTGATAAACTATGAACCTGCTTTTTACGGTTCATAAGAATTTGAAAAGCATTAGATTCTTCATGATTATCATCTTCGCTATCACTAATATTAATTAGATTTATAACTTCAGGTTCTTTATTCTTAACTGTATTACATACACTTGTATCGCTTTTTGTGCCCTCTTTATCCTTTAATGTTTTTTTTGTTTTCCTATTATTTTTAACTGAATTTTCAGAATTACGTTTATAATTTCGTTCCTTATACGACTTATCGTTGGTTTCTATAGATAAATAATCTAAACTTTCATCTTCTAATTTTTTCATATTCACCAATGTTTGTAATTTCGATGAAGATCTTTTTGATTTTTCAAGCGAATTTTTGTGTTTAGCTGCCTCTCTGGTAAATGGGCTAGGCGTTTTATCAATCATATCACTACTACTTTCTATGATATCACATACCGTTTCCTTTGTACTTGTTCGTGATATTTTAATTTTAACACGGTTACGTTTTCTTTTCGAGCCATTATTAGACTCCTCTTCCAGTCTTGTATCGTTGGTAGTTATTCCACTAGGTTTTACGGTGTCCACGAGATACTGTGTAATATTTTTCATTCTTCATTACTACATAAAATGTACCATGAATGCCTAGAAAAACTGTTTAAAACAAACCATATAAAATGCTATCCCATCGCAAGCATACATAGCGTAACATTTTGGCGCCATGACACTATGTATTGCATGTACATATATATAGTGCGTGTACAGTACATTCTGTTTATGTATATAATTTTAGAATATAAAGCAGATCTATTATGTATTTAACTATGCTAGATGCGAAATGCATTTTTTTTTTCAAACAATATAGTCGAAAATACATACATCTTTTCCTTTAATCACTATCTATTTAGATAAGAGAAAATGGGTTTTTTGCATCGCATTGTGTACATATGTACATATTGTACTTATAATACATATAGCATCGCACCAGGTCCATCTTCGCATGTTTTTTGAAATAGAGAAATGGCGCGAATATTTTGATTTGTTATAGAACTTTTAATCTGATTTAGAGAATCAAATCAGATCCGGAAAGTAACTTATGTTACATTTTCTTTAGATTTATTCTGTGCAATCCTTTTTAATTTTAATTAAGAGCTATTGATAAAAGTATATTCCTACAGTGCACTTGATTTTGACCAATGTACTTTGAACCAGCACTACGTGGAACAAGATTGATAATTGTTGATAATCAACTCGTGTTGTTTATATTGATTATACATTACATATTTACATGTGCGTTGATATTAACATATAAAAGCATTTGTTAAAAATGATCTATCCTTTAAATCTATAAATACAGACATTTTATAGTTGTTATAAAGCAATTTAATTAAATGTATATACAATAATATTTGTCCAACAACATAACCTTAAGAACAGTTTTATAGGAGCCTTATGTTGATCGATACACTGATAAAAGAAGGTTCCAAAAACATGACAAACTCTACGATGAAACCGTTACTCTTCGACATTTTTCACGAATGCTTAAAAACGAAAGCTAGAACTGCAAAAATGACACTTGTTCATCATCCTGTGGATACTCCAGTATTTATGCCAGTGGGAACTCAGGTAAGCTAAACTGCAGAATAGTTTAATGAATTATTGTTAATAACATTTCAACTTTATTGTTTCAGGGCACTTTGAAAGGTGTATTGCCGCAACAATTAGAAAGCTTAGACTGCCAAATTATTCTAGGAAACACCTATCATCTCGGAATAAGACCTGTAAGTTAATTGAGATGTTTACATTAATCCAATAAATATATATATATAGAATTTTTAATTGGTTCGATACGGTAATCAGGGTCTTCATGTTATGCAAAAAGCTGGTGGATTACATAATTTTATGAATTGGAAAAGAGCATTATTGACAGATTCTGGTGGTTTTCAAATGGTATCACTTTTAGAACTTGCAAACATTACAGAAGAAGGTGTTCAATTTAAATCTCCTTATGATAATGGTAGCTAATATTTAAGAACACAAAATGAATCAATATATTCAATTAGATATACATATAACTAAATAAAATACAATAGCTTTCTAATATATTTTAGAATCTGATTGCATGCTGACACCTGAGCACTCTATAGAAATACAAAATATAATAGGTGCAGACATAATAATGCAGCTTGACGATGTAGTTAAAACTACAATAACAGGGCCAAGAGTAGAAGAAGCAATGCATAGGTGAATATTTTATTGTTTGTAGTTCATGCGTGTCATTACCTTATACTGAAAAGATTGAATAATGATTAATTATTTTTAGAACATATAGATGGTTGGATAGGTGTTTACAAGCTCATCAGAGACCAAATGAACAAAGTATATTTCCAATTGTACAAGGCGGACTTAATCCTGATCTCAGATCAGAATGTGCAAAGCAGTTGATTCAACGCAATGTCAATGGTTATGCCATAGGTGGATTAAGGTAGAAATAATTGAATTGTAATTGATAGATGAATATGGAAAAACTGACTTAATTTTTATTATCTCTTAGTGGTGGAGAAAGTAAAGACGAATTTTGGAGAATGGTACATCTTTCTACTGATATACTTCCAAAAGATAAACCGCGTTATTTAATGGGAGTTGGATTCGCTGAAGATTTAGTAGTTTGTTGTGCATTGGGGATAGACATGTTCGATTGCGTATTTCCTACGAGAACAGCGGTAATATTTATGATGTAATTTTCAAAGAAAAAGCAAAAACATACATACAATTTCATTTATTAATATTGTATATCTCTTTCAGAGATTTGGTTGTGCGTTAATACGTACAGGACAACTAAACTTAAAACAATTACAATACTCGAAAGATATAAGACCCATAGATGAAACATGTGATTGTAGTACATGTAAAACGTATACGCGCGCTTATCTTCATCATATTGTAACGATAGAAACAGCTGCATGTCATTTATTATCTATTCACAATGTTGCATTTCAATTGAGACTAATGAAAGATATTAGACAAAGTATCAAAGAGCAAAAATTTCCAGAATTTATACAGCAATTTATGTTGAACTTATATCCGAATAAGGAATATCCAACGTGGATAATAAATGCTTTAAATGCTGTCAATGTTACATTATTATGAGAAAAAGTACAGATGATCACGTTATGTTAATAGTGTATCTAATAATATCAGATGGAGTCCCTAGTGAGAAATCACGTTTATATCCTAAAAACTAAAGACTATTTCATGTGTATAAGGTTCCAGGTTTATTTTTAACGACTTTATAAACAGATGAATGGGTTATTAGATATTTTTATATATTACAGAAATAAGCTTCTTAAAAACTTTCATATATTTTACAATAGTTAACTGTAGTTATCAATGATAAAAGCACGCGAATAATTTACACTTATTTCGTATTTACTATACTATTTATAAATAAAACTGTCCATCTTTGTAATATCTAATAATTTCATTTTCGAGCAGTATCAACATTCAATTTTTAATGTACACGTGCTGCCTGTTTGAAACATACATTTCCATTGTCCAGGACTGTAGTAAATTAGGCACAAGGTATTAATGTTGTACATAACGTTATCACATAAAGTCGTCTGAATCATATCCATTATTGTCGGTGTTCGATATCATATTAGATGTATTGAATAAGGAATTGTAGCTCCTGAAAGTGATTAATTAGAAAGTTTTGCAAAATTAACATAAGAACTGGAGAAATGTTAGTAGCTTGCCTGATTTCTGCTTCTTCTTTTTTCCTCTTTTCTTCTGCCTTCTCCTGTTCTTTCTGTTCCCTCATTAACTTCTTTTTGTCTTCTCTTTCATTCTTATCTCGTTGTTCCCTTTCTGCTCTAAAATTCACTTGCTCCGAACGTTTCGTTTTATTTAATCGATTGACAATTGTGTTTACTCGTTTAGAGACATGAATTTTTCGAACTTCTTTGTCTTCATGGAAGCCTACTTGTCCTACTTCCATACCTTGAGTCTTTTTTAGATTAGACCACATTGTGTATACAACATCGATATCATTTATTTTGTTACCCTCGATGCTGTTCGCTTTCACTAGTTGTGCCGCGTCTTCCAAGACCATGCTTGGAATATCATCTATTGTTTGGCCCTATAAACAATGTATAATTAGAACAAATTATTTAATATACAGGGATGATAAAACAGTTTAAATTTGAGGTATCATTGGTATAAGACAGGGGGTGCTTTAATAGTTCTAAATATTGGTACCTTGAAATTTTTCATTATTTGCATAAATGTTTTAATCGGACCTATAGCCCACAGTACAATAATTTTTTGTTAATTAATATATGCTTACCGGTTGAAGGCGAAGATACACGTGTGCCGAAGAATACTTGTCAACATGAAACCAAACATCCTCTGGCCAACCCCACCGTATAAGATCCTCGTCTAGACGTAAGATAAATTAAAATAAGTTCTTAAATGACAAAAAAACGAACTTGAAGAATTTTCACTTACTCTCATGCTTGTCAAGTCCCATAAATAATGTTACAGCTGGCTGAACAACTAAAATTCGAAAGTAACTGTTACTCTAACCTTATTGTTAGTTATTCGTCGCATTTCTTTAATATGATAATAACAAGTTTAAATACAATGAATGTGCAATAACATGGAAAATAACAATACCTTCGCTTGTAAAGTAGTATACCATTGTCACTTTTAAAATTTCAAATCAACACGTGTTACGAACGTTATCTGACAGATCTTCAAGCGAGGACTGAGTAGGAGATGTATCAGGATGTACATATGTACATTTTCGACTCGTGTGAAGCTGGTTCACAATATTAACCAATATTAGTGAAACATAGTACAAAAATTGCTCTTTCATTTAACTGCTTACTAATTAGCTTTAATTGTTTATTTATCCTTTTCGAGAAATATACAAGAAACATTTCGAGACGCCTAGTGACTTTCATGAGAGGCTGGGGACTTTTAAGAATACGAAAATTCTGAAATAATACATAAAACGTGCTGTATGACCTACCACAGAATTGCTCTTATCATCGAACCAATTGCTCATCCCTCCACGGGCGACTATTTCATCAATAAACAATAACATTTCAATAAACAGATCTGTAAGGAACTAGGAACACGTGACGTTCATGGCTGATAAATATCAATTCGCATAGATATTCAAAAACACAATTAAATTCCTATAAATTAAATTCATTATCAATTAACAGAGCACAATAACGTCATTTACGATTAAAAGATATCAATATCAAAAAGAATTTCAAAATTTGCAGCTATTAGCTCGGTATCATCCACGACTCAAAGCTCATTACAACTCGCAATGTTCTCTGAATCGAGGATGATACCGATTGCCCGGGTCTCACCGCGAGGAGGTTGCTGCTTTAGAGACCCGAAAGGGAGTCAGAACGAAGCCGGAATTCGCTATGGCTCCCTTTCTAACAACGACGACTTATAAACTAATACGCTCGCTAGCTAGCTATCACACATTCCCACACACTCGCTCGTTCGCATATGTCAAGTACTATTGCGGACCAAAGTGAATCAAAGAAGAAGTCTCCGATCCACGGGGACCAAAATGAATCAGTGCAGAAGGCTCTGATTCTTCGAAACTAAGAAACAAGGGCGAGTCAGTGCAGAAGGTTCTGACTCGAGGGTGACGCGACGCGTACAATGCTCGCACAAATCAGAAGCCTCGCAGATCTCGATGCTCGCCGTTTTCACATGAGGAATAATGA